GGCTATAGAAAGCTAGATGATACACTTGGAGCATCTGGCACTATCTAGCTGAGTGCAAGAGCCCAGTCAACCACAGCAGTAACCATTACTCCCGGGGATTAGGACTGAGTGGAAATAGTCATTTCTTGCTCATCTCCATGCCCTCTGAACGCCAATCATGTCCTGGAGGCTCACTAACATCTCGTGATTTGAGTGCTTCCTTCCAGCTTATTTTCACAGGAATCCCAACAAACTTCTGAACCTGCTTTGGAACCTGGGAACAAAGGGTGCTGGCAGGCAGAGAATTTGAGGAGGCAGATAATCCAAAGATAATTGATCCCAGGTCGTGGAAAGCATTTTGTTTATGGCAGCAGGGCGACCTTCCCAATTATGGTCTGCTTAGGCTAACGTTACAGCCTGCCCTCCCCAGTGGACTGGATCACCACGCCTGCTTACCACACTCCTGCAGGGGACAGGGACAAGCTGGGACTGGTTTACCTGTGGCTGAGAGGTGACTGACACACAGAGGCATGAAGCAACGTCCCCAAGGATACCCTCAGATCCAGGGCCCCTCTTTTTTGGGGGAGAGGGCGGTACCTGAGCTTGAACTCAGGGGTACTAGGCCACTGAGCCACATCCCCAGCCCTATTTTGTATTTTATTTGGAAACAGGGTCTCACTGAGTTGCTTAGCACCTTGCTTTTGCTAAAGCTGGCTTTGAACTTGTGATCCTCCTGCCTCAGCCTCCCAAACTGCTGGGATTACAGGTATGCGCCACCACACCTGGCCCAGGGGCCCTTGTTTTGTATTAGCAGAGTCCAGGTACATTTCTATGAACAGGTGGTTGCTTGTAGAAATGCTGTCGGGAGCCGGAACCCTGTCTACCAACCAGACAGCGTCCAACCAAAGTGTACATCATCAGATGTTGAAAGTCTTCAATGCTTCAAGGGCCCAGTCTGGCCTTAAAATGAATCCTTATGGTAGTCGAGAGGAGACTCTTTCCACTTTTGTATACATGAGAAAACTGGCTTCAAAGCAGTAAAGCATCTTGCCCTGGGTCCTCAGGCCTATCCCCAACACTTCTGGGCACTGGGCCAGGCCTCTCCCCTGAACAGGGAATCATTGAATTCTTGCCAGGCTTTTTGGAAGATCCCCCCTCAACCTCACCTGGTGAGCAGGTAAATTTGGCATTCTAGGAAACTCTCCTGCCTCCTAGAGTTCAAAGGTCATGTTAGCTCCTAGATTTTCCGGGTCTGTAGGAAGGAAGCCCTCTGGGGGCAGGAAGCTGGTTGTGCTGACTCATAGGCCAAGGGAGAGTAATCCAGGAAACTTGTCATTCTGTTGCCATGGTGTCGGGACTGCCAGGCACCCCTTCTTCTCTGAGGCTCACTCAAGGACCGGGTGGTATTGGTGAGGGTGGGGAACGGTCAGACCACCCACCCTGCACCCAGATCTCTCCCATAGAATTCCGGCTGCAGGGTAAACACAGTTACCCTTTGGTAACTGCTGCCCCAGAATGGAGGCTGTCCCAGAGTTCAGCCCTTCCCTGCCTGCAGAACTTGGGGGTTCCTTCAGCAGCGCTAGGAAGCCTTCTCCACACAGGCTGAGGAAAATAAAGGTCCTAAGAGACAGTGTGGGTGAGTCAAGGCCCACCCAAGGATCACTGTTGCCCGCCTCTCGACTTCCCCTGTACTTGTTTTTTGGCAAGAGGAAGAAGGCCTGTTTTCGTTCGTCAGGAGGAAGAGAATTTGAGAAGCCAGAAAGTATTACCCATCGGGTCCTCACCTGTACTGGGGTGAGAAGGTGTCTGGGGCAACTATGATTTATAACCCCAAGGAAAAGGGAACAGGCATCCCACCATCTCAAACCCAGAGCGGTGAAGGGAAAAGCTGACAACTGGTGGCTCCCTCCCCATAAGTTGAAAAAAACTTTCTTTGGTTTCAAAGAAACTGTTTTGCTCTTTCTTTTCCCTAAGCCTGGTCCTACCATGTCACTAGCTGGACACTGATCAGAGCTTCGTGCACCAGCAGACCTGGGTTCAAATCCAGCTCCACCACACTAGCTGTGTGGCCTTGGGAAAGTCTCTTGACAAAAATCAAGAGATTGCTGAGGAGTGAGGTTAGGGGGGAGGGAACCTGCACACAGTGAGTGTTCTGTAAAGTCAACTATTCTTTTTTTTTTAGTATTTATTTTTTAGTTGTAGTTGGACACAATACCTTTATTTCACTTATTTATTTTTATGTGGTGCTGAGGATCGAACCCAGGGTCCCACACGTGCGAGGCAAGCGCTCCGCTGCTGAGCCATAATCCCAGCCCTGAAAAGTCAACTATTTTTAAGAGATTTTTTTTTTTTTGGTGCTGGGGGTTGAACCCAGGGCCTTGTTCAGAGTTCAGCCCTTGTGAGACAAGCACTTTACCAACTGAGTTATACCCCCAGCCCCTCTTAAGAGATTCTTTAGGCACAAGACAAACTGGTCACTTAGAATTTGAGACTGACAGAACAGAATTCCATCATTTTGTCCTAAACAAAAAAATTCGAGATCTCCCCCTTTACTCTCCTCTCTCAGATCTCCTCTTAAGGGATCCCTCAATTTCATTCTCAATTGGGAAGAGAAATCTTTTTATCATTTCAGAAATCAAGATCCAGGGGCTTGGTAGAGTGCTTGCCTCACATGTACAAGGCCCTGGGTTCAATCCCCAGCACCACAAAAAAAGAAAAAAGAAATCAAGATTCAGGGCTGGGGTGGTAGTCAGGAAGATCACGACTTAAACTGACCCTGTCTCAAAATAAAAATTATAAAGGGGGTTGGGGGGGGCTGGGGTTGTGGCTCACTGGTAGAGCACTTGCCTAGCACCTGTGAAGCACTTGGTTCAATCCTCAGCATTGCATATAAATAAATTAAATAAAATAAATATATTGTATCCATCTACAACTAAAAATATTTTTTTAAAAATTAGGGCTGTGATTGTGGCTCGGCATGATAGTGCTTGCCTAGCAGGTTTGAGGCCCTGGGTTTGATCCTCAGCCCCACATAAAAATAAATAAATAAGATTTTTTTTTTTTTTTAATTAAAAAGGGCTGGGAATGTAGCTCAGTGGTAAAGTGCTCACTTAGCATGTACAAGGCCCTAGGTTCAATTCCCAGTGCTAAAAAAGATAATAAATAAATAATGTCTAGAGGGGATAGTGGTTTGCCTAAAGTCACACAGGCAGCAAGTGGCAAAGCTGAAGAGCTGCTTCCTGACCCCTAATCTCCTGGCCTTTCCACTGTGGCCCAGTGTACTCTGGGCTCTGCTGCACTGACCCACTTGTTTGTAGAGCACAAGGAGAGACCCAGCCACACACTCCCTTCCCAAGAAAACATCAGGGTGCAGCCACTCCCATCCTCAAGGCCAAGGGCTTAGCTCATCATAGGGGAGGCAGGAGTGCTGGGATGGGGGGGTAGGCTCCATTAATGCAGGCTGATGTCACTGAAAGCAATAATGATGTAGTGGTTATGCAGTGTCCTGTCCCAGACAAATGCCAAGATCCCAGGCCTGAAGGTATCCCCAGAGCCACTTCTGGGTCCAAATCTGCAGCCTTCCCCACCCCACACAGAGGCTTCTCACTTCAGCCCCTTGGGATCAAAGGAGAGGAAAACATGCCTGCAATCAAAGAAGAGCCTGTTCAAGGGGAACATGTCCCACCTCCTCCCCCACACCCAGTGACTCAGTGGCTAGTTTCAGGAGAAGAAACTGAGGATGGAAAGTGGTTGTCAAACTCCCAGGCTGAGGCTCTCGGAAAGTGGGGCGGAAAAAAAGGGTGTCAGGAAATCCCCTCTACTAGTTGATAAAAGAATATAGCCAACACCTTCCGGCCTCAGCTGTTGGGGCACAAGACAGCTCCGGGGTCTCCCTATCCTCACCTCCGGATATCTGCCCCCAAATAGGTCGGACGCTGTAAGTTCCTCCTTTTTCCCTGACTCATCATGCGGGGTGGTATTCTTACAGACCTAACTTTGGGGACGCATCATTCGTGCTATGTCCCTTTCCCATTTGCTGCACCCTACTTGCTCTGGTTAAGGCACCTGTATCCCTGAACACCTGCACGACTTGTCACCACCCCACATCGGGTGTCCCTTGTCGCCCACCTCTCCTCATGTCCAGCGCCTCTGGCCCCCCTCTGGCATCCACGACGGCTTCTCCCAGCTCTTCCCCTCACCGCGGCCCGCCCAGCCTGCTCCCCAGTGGGCCCCGTCGGGGCTGCGGGCGGGAGCGGCCGGAGCAGGAGGGGGGAGGGCAGGGCGGCGCGAGCTCACCATGGCGAAGCCGGAGAGCAGAGCCGAGGTCCGGCTGGAGGCTTTGAGCTTGGCGCGGCTCAAATAGAGCTTACGCCAGGACAGCGCCTGCATCGAGTGCTCGTTGAGGCTCATCACCTCGGAGTAACTCTGGCCGATCCAGTCCGGATAGCTGACGGCGGACGGCGGCGGTGGGGCACCCGGGGGCTCCCCGTCCCCGCTGCGGCGGCGGCTCCGGCGGCTGCCGCTGGTGGTGCTGCCGCCGCTGAGGGGAAGCTCCGGGTTGCTGCTGCTCGGGGGCGGGGCGGGCTCCGGATGCATGGAGCACGCTGCAAAGGCGCGGGCCGGCCCGGGCGCCTGCGAAGGCAGCGGTCGCGGCCCCCGCCGCACCGCCGCCTGCCCCCCACGCGGGCCCGGCCTCTCCCGGCCCGCCGCACAGGACAAGGAGGAGGTGTAGTAAGCAGCTGCAGCTCCAGCTCTCTGGCCTGTCGCGCCGCTCGCCAAAGCCCCAGGCGGTCGTGACCCGAGCCTGCGCGCGGGCCAGCGTCCCGTCCCGGGTCCGGACCCTCGGCGCGTACAGCGATTGGCCGCCGCCCCGGCGTTATTTGCATGCGTCCCTCCCACTGGGCCCCCGCCCACCACTGGGTGGGCGTCGCCTACGCGGGTCATGTGACCCACCGCCTCTGATGGCACCGCCCACAGCCGCAGGCGCGCAGCTGCTCGTGTCCGCGCCTCTTCCTGGAAGCGCCACAAGTCCGCAGGCTTTGCTGCGCTCCTGCTCTTGGCGTGTCCCTTCGCAGCTGTGCTATGGCCCTGCTCCCAGAGCTCAGACTCCTGGGTCGAGCCGTCTAAGGTCACCTTTGAACGCCTTCTGAGGCACGTTTCCCCCTTGGAACAAGGTGGCGCAAAGTCTGTTGGAAAAACAGCAAGCTGAGGTCTGAAGTTGTTTCGGTGTTTATTGAATGCCTACTGGGTGCCAACACTGTTCCTGGCGCTAAGGACAGGTAGGCTGGTGAACAAGAGACAAAAATCCCTTGCTCTCTTGGAGCTCACATTCTAGCGGCAGAGACACACAAACACTGATAAGTACATTTCAATACTTTAGAAGGTTGTAAATGTGTGGGAAAATATAAAATAGGGTAAGGAGGGGTAGTACCAGGGATGCCGTTTAAATTTTAGAATGTTAGGAGCTTTTAATTTATTTTGGCTTACACTTTCAAGCATCTGACACGCATTGGGCCTGGCAGTACCCCATTAATAAGTTTCCTAACAGTGAACTCTCAAACCCATTCAATAGGTGTCTTCTGAGTACACATTAAGAAAAGTGTGAAGCTGAGGGATTCCAAGAAAATGATAACCTTCTTGGAATTTTATATTTGGGGGCCAGACAATAAGTACACACCTTTTTGACTAGGTCACATTTGAGCTGATACCTGAGCCAGCAATGCAGAGCCAGGGCCTAGCACTCCAGGGGGAAGGGAACTGCAAAAGAAACACTCTGAAGTTGAGCTCTCTGGCTGTTGGAGCGTTAGAAAGCCAATTTTCCTTGGTGGGGAGTGGGGAAGAGGGGAGCAGAGGCAGAGTACTGGGCTTAAGAATTGCCAGCTAGGATATCAGTTCCAGGGCAGAAACCTATTGACTTCAGAGCTTCTAGCCCTAGCATTTGAGAAGACCCCTTGGCACATACTCAGCACTCAGGAAATATTTGTTGAGTGAATAAATGTGAGAGAAACAAGACTGAATTAGCCTGACAGAATTAGCCCATAAAGTCACCGGCATGTGGCATTCCAGGTCTGCAAATGTGACATTTTACTATTGTTACCACTAGAGGGCGGCCCTCAACCCAACCGCATTATGGAATAAGACTGAAGGCCCCCCTCTTCCCAAGTTTCTGGGATTGCTCCAGACGCGGCCCTCCGTGTTTTTATGAAGATTGGAAACTTGGGATTTGAAGTCTCACCCCTCTGGGCTTGTTTCTCTGGGAGTCTTTGTACTTGTTGCTCCTTCCCTTTGTCTCAGTTCAGATATCACCTGTAGAGACTTTTCCTAACCAAGCAGCCCATTGGTTGTTCACTCTGATGTTTTCCCTTCATACCTCTGATCACCACAGTATCTGAAGTCACCTAGCTTGCTTATTTGTTGCCCTGTTTGTCCCTGTTCCCCACTGGCAGAAGACCTTCCTGAGAGTGGAGTTCATGCTTCCCAAAAGAAAGCAGTTCAATGAATAAAATAATGTCCCTTATTACAGAGAAACCCCATCTGGGGATACACAATATCCAGAGGTGGATGGGGTCTGAGGTCTGGAGGGGGAAGAGACTGAAAGCCAAGAGCAGAGATTTGCTGACTGAGGAGGAACAAAAGGACCTGGGAGTGGTGATTCAGAAAGGGAGTGAGGATGGTTTCCTTTTCAAGTTCCTACATCATTCCCTTCCCCCTCTTCTAAGTTTCTAGTTTTGAATCTCATCATTTGCACAAATCAGAAATAATAAAAAGGGCCAGGATATAGCTTCGGGGTAGAGCATGTGTGAGGACCTAGGTTCAACCCCATGGGGAGGGTCTGGGAGGGTCTGCCTCCTGTCTCAGAGTGCTCAAGGGCCAGTTTGTAATAACTTGACCTTGTTAGAGCCAGATGCACCAAACCCATATTTAACAAATGGAGAAACTGAGACCTCAGACAGAGAGAGGGGGAGAGCACCTTGCCAAAGGACACAAAATCTAGACTTCCAATTCCTGCAATGCCTTCATCACGCATGGCTCCCCCTTATAGCTTGGAGGTGTGCTCTTGTCCTTTGGGGGCTTACATCTGAAAAAGCCAAATAAAATATTTTCAACCAACTATGCACAAGGTTATAGAAATCCAACTGAAAGGACTGTGGCTATCTGGCCCATGCTGACCAATGGCCACAGTCCAGGGCTGATCAAAGGTGTCATGAGCTGCCTTGGGAGGTAGCAAGTTCTCCTTCACGTGGGGTAAAAAAGTAGTTATCACTAAACTAGTGCTTCCTAATGATAGGCACTATTCTAAGCACTGTAACATATTAAATATGTAAGATTATGTTATCTAATACCAAATTATTTAGTTTATTATTTTACTAAATATGTTACATTAAACTTGGGAATTCTTCACAATAATCCCATGGTGTTAATGTCACCATTTTACAGATGAGAAAAATGAGGCCCAGAAGAAGTAGTAGGATAGGTCTTTTAACCCAGTTGATGGGTTTCCAGAATCCGGAACTTCACAGCAACCTTGATCATCCCTGTCCCCAACATCAGAGTTTCCAAAGGTATGTTTGTTAAAATGCAAGTAATGAAAACCCATCCAAGCAGTTTATTTTTTTATTTTTTTTTTATACTTTTATTTTATTTATTTTTATGTGGTGCTGAGAATCGAACCCAGGGCCTCACACATGCTAGGTGAGTGCTCTACCGCTGAGCCACAACCCCAGCCCCGCAAGCAGTTTAACTTTAGCAACTTTTTCAGTCAAAGTCTGAGAACCACTGAACTAGATGGTATTTAGGGTTCAAGTATTTTGAGTCTTTTATGGTGCTGAAGGTTGTGTGTCCCATTGGCTGCTCAGTTGCAATGTGACCTTGGACAAATTACCCAACCTCTCTGAGCCCTGATTCTCTAAGCAAAGATGAGATATTACAGATATCTACTCGTGGACCCCAAAGTTGGACGCCCAAGCCTTCACTCAGATATTCAGCAGAGGTCAATCTGATATCCAGCTCTGGAGAAACCCTCTGGCTCCTCTTTTTTTTTTTTTTAATTTTTTAATATTTATTTTTCAGTTTTCGGCCGACACAACATCTTTGTTTGTATGTGGTACTGAGGATCGAACCCGGGCCGCACGCATGCCAGGCGAGCGCGCTACCACTTGAGCCACATCCCCAGCCCCTCTCTGGCTCCTCTTGCCCAACAAGTTTTCAAAGAAATGTCCACTTACATTTTGTTCAAAAGGCATGCTTTCTTGGAGCCATTATGATGGCTTGACTCTTCTCACTGCTCTAAAGCTAGAACCCCTCCCCCCCAATTAGTAATAATAAAAGAGCCACCATTTATTGATCTTCTACTCTTGCAGAATAGTACTTGTATACCTGAGGTGATGGGAAGCTCACTCATTCTGAAAGCCATCATGTGTGTATCAGTTGTTTCTAATGGTTCAAGACTTGTCCCGTGGAGCTGATATCAGCCTCCCTGTCAGCAAGTCCCTATATGTGTCACATAGAATGTGTGAAATCCTTCTGCCACCCTACCCCGGTGCCAGCTTCACATTGGAAGGCAGTTCTGAATGAGCCAGATTTTCATAGTCAATGAATTGGGGTTAAAAGGCTAGAAAAAAATTTAGAGCCTGGCACGGTGGCACATGCCTGTGATCCCAGCAGCTAAGAAGGCTGAGATAGGAGGATCACAAGTTCAAAGCCAGCCTCAGCAAAAGCAAGGCAATAAGCAACTCAGTGAGACCCTGTCTCTAAATAAAATGCAAAATAGAGCTGGGGATGTGTCTCAGTGGTAAGTGCTCTGGAGTTCAATTCCTGGTACCAAAAAAAAAAAAGGGCTGAGGTTGTGGCTCAGTGGTAGAGCACTTGCCTAGCATATATGAGGCCCTGGGTTTGATCCTCAGCACCACATAAAGATAAATAAATAAAATAAAAGTATTGTATCCATTTACAACTACAAAAAAAGATATTTAAAAATAAAATTTAGAGACTATCAAGGGACTAGTGCAAAATTCATAATTAGGTTTTGTGTCTGTGTTGATCTCAAAAGGATTCTCTGGACTGGGAGTTTAGAGACCATTCTGTGGGGAACGTATGCCTTGCCTCCTGCTCCCCAGTTCTTCAACTGGTAGGGCTCAGTCCAGACCCATACCCCAGCCCCTATCAGAAAAATGTCTGGGTTCATGGGTTTGTACCTATACCTTTTTTTTTTGGTGTGTGGGGAGAAGTACTAGGGATTGAACCAGGGCCTGATGCATGCTAGGTGGGTGCTCTACTACTGAGCTGCATCCCCAATCTTTTTTCTTTTTTCTTTTTTTTAATAAATATTTTTGTAGTTGTAGATGGACACAATACCTTTATTTTATTTGTTTATTTTTATGTGGTTCCTGGGATCAAACCCAGTATCTCATGCATGCTAGGCAAGTGCTCTACCACTGATCCACAACCCTGGCCCATCCCCAGTCTTTTAAGACAAGATCTCACTAAGTTGACCAGGCTGGCCTCAAACTTGTGATCCTCTGTCTCGTCTTCCCAATCAAACTGATTTTTTTTTTTTTTTGTACAGGGATTGGACCTAGAGGTGCTTCACAACTGAGCCACATCTCAAGCCCTATTTTTATTTTTTATTTAGAGACAGAGTCTCACGAAGTTGCTTAGAGCTTTGAACCTGTGATCCTCCTGCCTCAGCCTTCCAAGCCACTGAGATTATAGGTGTGCACCACTGTGCCTGGCAAAATTAAAAAAAAAAAAAAATTTAATTAAATAAATCTTGAAGTAGAGGTAAGTCTTTCAATTTTGTTCTTTTTCAAAATTAGCAGTGTTAAATCCTTTATATATGTTTTGTAGTAAAATATTGGAATAAATTTTATCAGTGAATATTTTGGTGATATTGAGGAATATCAGGTATCCTTTAAAGGGGTGGGACATCAGCAGGATTAAATGTCTTCCTAGAAGCTGGGCACAGTGGTGCAGGCCTGTAATCCCAGCAACTCAGGAAGCTGAGGCAGGAGGATTCCAAGTTCAAGACCAGCCTCAGCAATTTAACAAGACCCTGTCCCAAAATAAAAAATAAAAAGGGCTGAGGATGTAACTTAGCGGTAAAGTGCCCCTGAGTTCTAACACCAGTACAGAAAACAAAGAAACAGCAACAACAAAACAATAGGCAGACACACCCAGAGGAAGGCGATGTGAGGAGACAGACATTGGATAAGAGAGCTGTCTATAAGACAAGGAACACTGGAGGCTACCAGAAGCTGGGAGAAAAGCCTGAACAGGTAGATCTTCTCCTTAACCCCTCAGAGCATGAGGTCCTGCTGATACACTGATTTTGGGCAAGATCGTGCAACTTCACTGGTATGGCTATAGATATCAGCTGATTTCAGACTTCTGGTCTCCAGAACTAGGGGACAATAAATTTCTGTAGTTCAAAGCCCCTAGGTTGTGACATGAAGGGCTGTTATAGCAGCATTTAGAGATTTCTGTAAGTAAGTGAGCTGGGTGGGGCCTTAGCCAGCCAAGGAAGTGGAATCTTAGCGTGTTTGTGGGCGGGGACTGCCAGTGTGTTCAGAATATCAAGAGAGATTAGAAAACCGCAGACTTTGGATCAAGGCTCACCTGGATTTGAACCCCTGATTTGACAGTTTATAATTGTGCCACAGTTTATAACTGTGCAAGCAACCCAACCTCTCAAAGCCCCATCTGTCAACTGGCAACAGGGATTGAGTATTCCACGAAAGAACATTTGTCTGGCATTCAGTACAGCGCTCAATAAGTGGTAGCTACTCTTTTCCCTCTTGCAGGATATACTGTGCTCAGAGAAGGAGGACTGCCTCATTCCAAACCCAATGAATTGGCTGATCTGATTTTACCAAAGGCCATATATTCTTGAGACTCCAACTAGGAAAAAGAGGTACCAGAAGAGAGGAATTAATACAGAGCTGCCCCACAGGCTGTGGAAGGCCTGTGGAGGGGGGCAAACCAGAGGGGAAGCCCCTACAAATTAGCAAGAGCAGGGGGTCTACCATCACTCCGACTGCTAGAAGGATGGAGACAGGAGGCGGCGTTTCTGGACCCAGGAGGGATTGGAGACACCAGGTAGGCTCAGTAAGTCTCCTGATTTGGCCGCTCCAAGGGTTGGCCTTCCTGTGGTCCAGAGGACAGCAGAGGAAAAGCAAGGGATGCATTTGAGGGCAAAGAAACCCAGCCCCAGCCCTAGGGAGTAAGGTTCAATTTACTCTATCGAGCCTCAGATTTCCCATCTAGAATCAAGCATACTAATAGCACCTACTCACACAGATCAGTTGTATACATAAAAGGAGAGAATGCACATTAATGGTTTGGCTCAGTGCCTGGCACATGGTAGGCAGTGTGGATGCTGAGGAATGACCGATGGTGTGAACTGTTTTCCACTCAGGAAGCAAGCAAGGAGGGGCCTGGGAATAAATTCAAGGTACAGACACAGTGCGAGCGTGGGTGATATTTTTATCCTAGAGATGCATTCATCTGTCCTATGTCCATTCTAAGCTGGTGAGTTTATCAGACTCTTTTTAGAAGTCCTGACTCAGGGTAGGCCACTCCAGGTTCTGGGTAGTTGGAAGTTTGGGCTCCTTGCTCCCTCTCAAAAGGATTTTAAATCCACTCAATTTTTAGTTGGTGCCTCTGCCTCCAACTGCGGCTGCCAAACTTCACTTGCCTCCCCCAGCCTGGGGCTGAGCCATTCCCAGGATCTCTCTTTGTATAATTAAAAAGAAAAATAGAACAGCTGATGTTGCCAAACATGTATTTAAAGTGACACCCTGAGTTCAGGGAGTGAAAAATAAAAACGTTTAGGGTTTAGATTAAAAGTCTCGGTGCTCGGCCGTCTCCTGACCCTGGGATTTCTCCACAGCCTGGCCACCTTTAATCCCCTGCCCTGGCTCATAAAAGCCTTTTAGACCGAGGGCATTTATTTCCCGGAGAGCTGTTCCAGGATAATCACATAAAAACGCTGGGCGTCCAGGGAACAGCCTGTCGAGCACAGGGTGGCTGTGTGAGGCCCCAGGGAAAGAGGGGAAATTGGAGTGCTCATTACCAGAGACACCCTGTTCCTTCACTGTGCCCTTTCCCACCACATCCAACCACCAGAAGATCTAGCCAGCTTAGGCACTTAACACCTTAAAATCTGAGCTCCTTCCTCCAGCTTCTTCCTTCTCATCCAGGCTGCCATTGCTGCTCATCCACATATCTGCTGTCACCTGCCCCCAGACTCTGGTTACTCTTGATCCTCCTAAAGCCAATTCTGTAACAGCAGCCAGAAAAATCAATAACCTACACATCATCACGTCCCTTCTCTGGTTGTATTAGTTTCCTATTGCTGCTGTAACAAGTGATCACAAATGTAATGGCTCAACACAACACCAGTTTATTCCCTTAAGCCTTCTGGAAGTCAGAAGTCCAACATGAATTGGCAAGGGCTAAAATTAAGGTGATGGCAGGGCTGGCTCCTTCTGGAGGCTCTAAAAGGAAAACTCAGTTCCTTACCTTTCTCACCTTCTAGCGGATGCCAGTGGTCCTTGGCTTGTGGCCCCTTCCTGTATCTTCAAAGCACACCACTCCGGTCTCTGTTTCCATCATCCCACCTCCCTTTCTGTCTACCTCTTGCATGGACACTTGTGATGACATTAAGCCCAGGATAATCTCCACATCTTGAGATCCTTCACAGCTGCAAAGCCCTTTTTCCATATAAGATCACGTAGTCACAGATTCTAGGGAATAGGACATGGATAGCACAAGACCATCATTTAGCCTGCTATATTTTGGAAGCCCCACCCAAGCTCCTTACCTGGGAAGATCTGTCTGATCTAAGCCTTTTACTATGTCCCCAAACCATAGTCTCCTTCCTCTCTCCCTCTCTTATGCAGGTGCCCTCATTGCCCTCATTTTTCTTTCCACAGGTCAAGTTCATTATTATCTCAAGGCCTTGATGTGTATGATTCCCTGTGCCTGTAATGTTCTTTCCCCAGATTGTTACAGAATACACTGGATGTTTATGTTTCTGGTCCCCCTAAAACTCATATGTTGAAGCCTAATTCCGAAAGGCAGATTATTAGTAGGTAAGGCCCTTGGGTGGTGAATAGGTCATGAGGGTGGAACCTCATGAGGGAGATTTAGATCCTTATTAAAGAGGCCCCAGGAACCCTCATCCCTTCCACCACATAAGCATCTAGCAAGAAGGTACCCCTGTGAATCAGGAAGCAGGTCCTCACCTGCTGCATCTTGGACTTAAAAACTGGAGCTGGGTGCAGTAGCACATACCTGTAATCCCAGTGGCTCTGGAGGCTGAGACAGGAGGATCACAGGTTCAAAGCCAGCCTCAGCAACAGCGAGGTGCTAAGCAACTCAGTGAGACCTTATCTCTAAATAAAACACAAAATAGGGCTGAGGATGTGGTTCGGTGGTCAAGTGCCCCTGAGTTCAATCCCTTGTACCCCGCCTCAAAACAACAACAACAACAAACAGTTGGCTTCTTCCCTTCTAGAGGTTGGCTCAGCAGTCACCCTCTCAGACAGGCCTTTCCCTGGTGAATCCATCTCGCTGACCCTCCTTCTGGCCTCCTCTCTCTCATCACCTCAGTTTACTTAGTGTCAACATAAGTCCTTTTTGTTACATGCCTTTAACATTATTGTTTATCAGGATGTGAACATGAGAGAAAAACTCTCCCTTGCCTTGTTCATTACTGTCTCCCCAGTGACTGGTACGCTGGTCTCTTGATCAGTGCTCAGTGGGTGGATGGAAGGAAGGGTAGATGTATGGGTTTATGTGTGCGTGAATAGATGAATGGAAGGATGGACAAGTGGCAGGGAGGGTGGATGGATGGATGAGTGAGCAGGTGGATGGATGGCAGTATGTGTGTATGTACATGTGGGTGAACAGCCGGCCGGCTGGCTTAGACTTCCAATTTGGTCTCTGAGTTCAAGTGTCTGGGACTCAGAATCAGGATGAAGTAGGACAGAAATGCAGGATCATGCAACAGTTGAGAGCTTCTTGCATGTCAGGCCTCCTGTAATTAATTCCTACATGCAATTCATTATATATTTATTTTATTTTATTTCTTTCTATTTATTTATTTTGAGAGAGAGAGAGAGAGAGAATTTTTTTAACATTTATATTTTTAGTTTTTCGGCAGACATAACATCTTTTGTTTTTTTTTGTATGTGGTGCTGAGGATCGAACCCGGGCCGCACGCATGCCAGGCGAGCGCACTACTGCTTGAGCCACATCCCCAGCCCTAAATGTTTATTTTTTAGTTGTACACAATACCTTTATTTTTTGTTTATTTATTTTTTTATGTGGTGCTGAGGATCAAACCCAGGGCCTCGCACATGCTAGGCAAGAACTCTAGGGCTGGGGATGTGGCTCAAGCGGTAGCGTGCTCGCCTGGCATGCGTGCGGCCCGGGTTCGATCCTCAGCACCACATACAAACAAAGATGTTGTGTCCGCTGAGAACTAAAAAATAAATATTAAAAAATTCTCTCTCTCTCTCTCTCCCACTCTCTCTTTAAAAAAAAAAAAAAAAAAAAAACAACTCTAATGCTGAGCCACAACCCCAGCCCATTAATTTGATTTTTTTTTTTTTTTTAAGTACTGGAAATCCAACCCAGGGCCCTTATGCACAATAGACACCCAACTATACCCCCATCCCTCTGTAAAAAAATTCCAGGGTTTTAAATTCCAAGATCTAGACTGGCCTCAAACTTGGGATCCTCCTGTCTCAGTCTCCTGAGTAGCTGGGGTTA